CAAGCGCCCATGCCTCTCACCAGCCTCGGGTCAGGTTTTAAATGTAGTTTTATCTCTCTGAACGTGATGCAGGAGGGATGGAAAATTCCTTGAGAGCTGTCACTGCCATGACGGGGAGAGCGGGGCTCTTCTGGAGGGTACAGCAGTAAAAGCAGAGCCCCGGGACACTGAGCCAGTGGATAGGATGAACATGGGGAAGATCAGTAGCTTTAATGTCCCTTCCACCGTGTCTTTTTAATCCTTGTTTTCCTGTTCACTTAGCCAGAAAGCGAGGGTAGATTACTTTGTATTTTTCCAGATGACAAGTCCATTTTTCCCCAAGTACTGCTTGTGATCATCGGGTGTTTAAGATGTTAATGACACACATATCTTTGAGCTGAACCAGATCCAGATAAGTCGCATAACTGGATTATAGTGAGCAAAACCTTATGAATATTTAAAAGGCGAGCACCAGAAAAAGCCCCCCCGAAGGCTACGGCTGTGCAGGGAGAAGGGAATGCCGGGGGGGCTGCGCGGACAGTGCTGGACTCTAATCTCCTGCCATAAGCAGAGAGGTTTGGGGCTGGCTCTTGAAAACGTACCCTCTCACGGGAGCCTGGCTTGGGTCAAAACCCTGAAACATGGGGACCCTGGGAAATCTGGTGAATAAGACATCAAATCTCTCATTAATTCCCAGGGGTGAGGCAACGATGCTCTGGAATCCACTCACAGAGGGTTTGCGAGAAGCTCCAGCTTAAAAAGAAGTGTGAATTACAGCTTGGGTTAAGTATTTAGAAGTCATGTATATTAATATGCAGCTGCGCTCAGAAGCGTCTCTGCTCGGCAGCTCTCCCCTGGCTGCGCTGGCTCCGGCGGCCTGGGGACGGTGCAGCCGACAGGGCACGGCTTTCCCGTCCCACAGGAGCGGAGCCAGCATCGATTTTCATGGGTGTTTGGAGGGTGTAATCAGGGGAGAGGAATTCACTCGATACGGAGCGGGCAGCGCGGCGGTGGGAAAGGGCAGGCTGCCGATGAGTAACCGCGCTCGGGCCGCGGCATTTTCCCCAACGGCGCCGAGCGGGTGCGCGGGGGAGGCTGGATTCAGCGGAGATCAAATCGCAAGGGCCAGGTGGTGCTGGGTCCCTTGTGACGGGAATCGCCCCGCAAAGCTGGATTTGGAGAAATTCGGCTTGGACCAGGGAAGGAGGAGCAGGGAGGGCAGCCTGGCTCCAGCCTCCCAGGCCTTTCTGAACTGGCCGAGCTGGTCCCAGTGCTGTGGTCCCTGCGGCTCTTGCCTTCTTTTCCAGTAAGATCTGTTGAACAAGCTGACATCCTTTAGTCTGGTGAGCTCGTACGTCTCCCAAGCAGCCTTTCCTTGTCTGCTTTCCACATGGCAGCCCTCAGGTGTCTGGAGAATCGAAAGGCCAGGCCAAGAAACACTTGGTAATTAGAAAGATAAGCTCCTTGCCTTAAATATTTCAGTTCAAGTTGTCTATGCCTTTGAGAAAGAGAAAGAAAATGTATTAAAAAAAAAAAAAAAGCAGAGAGATGGAGCGCTGTAATGCTGTGACCTATCGTGGCTGTCCCCGGGGAAGAGGGGCGACCACAACCACCGCTGGTCCTCCGGGGAGGGACCTGTCCCCTCCTCGGGTGCGTAGGAAACAGCTCGCCCTTTCTCCAAAGCTACCGTGGCCAGTGGAGCGGGTTTCTTGGCATGTCCTTGTTCCTTCAGGCTGCTCAGTCTGATCCCAGACAGCTCTTTCATTATTGCAAAAAGGCATCATGAGATCGTTGGCCAGAAGTGGAAGGTCCATCAACCCGGACCTAGGGTTGTGTTTTTGACAGGGAGACTAACTAACTCCTGGAAGGAGATGCGGCACGGAAGGGGGATGCTCGGGGCGGCCGCGCTCCTGGCTGCCCCCCGACTCCTCTGATACACAACCGAATAAACGATTTAGAAAAGCAAGGGTCCTGCCTGCAGCTCGCCTGCCCCCAGGGGCGAGCAGCCCTGGCTAAGCCCTCTATAGGGGATGCCAGATGTACGTGCCTGCTTCTGTCTTGCTTTACTTAAAGGGGGCCTATAAGAAAGATGGGGACGGACTTTTCAGCAGGGCCTGCTGCGATAGGACAAGGGGTGAGGGCTTTAAACTAAAAAAGGGGAGATTCTGACTAGATATAAGGAAGAAATGTTTCACAATGAGGGTGGTGACCCCCTGGCCCAGGTTGCCCCGAGAGGTGGTGGATGCCCCATCCCTGGGAACATCCCAGGCCAGGCTGGACGGGGCTCTGAGCACCCTGCCCTGGGTGCAGATGTCCCTGCCCATGGCAGGGGTTGGACTGGATGCCCTTTAGAGGTCCCTTCCCACCCAAACCGGTCTGTGATTCTTTTCCCCCTGCCTGGTGTCTCCTGCCCCCAACAAGGCTGCCAAGCTGGAGAAACCACAATTAAACTAAAGTTTTGTTGTTCTTTGGGTTTGAAAGGAAGAGCTGTGGCTTGAAAGCTCCTCAGGATGGAGGGATGGGTGGTGGCAGGTTTGGGAGCTGCTGCTGCTGAAACCAGCCCTTAAACCCCCCAGACCCCCATCTCCCAGCACATTCCAGCATGGCTGGGGTCCTGCTGGGTGTTTTGGTCGTTGGGGTAGGCAAGTTCAAAGCTCGGCTGTACAAAGCTGTTCGCTTTGCTGCTGCACTCCCCACAGAGCAGGTCCCTGCTCTTCACCTCTTGAGTACCTAAATACACCGATGCCTTTCCCTGGGCTGGGGACAGCCCCGCCGCCCCTCCGTGACCGCTCCTCCGGAGCAGCAAACCGTC